AATTTTGGCATTTAATTCTTGGGGAATTCTACCCCCAATCTTATAATAATATTATACATGTAGTATTTTACGACAGTATGTTTCAGCTTCTCTCATATCGTTGAGGGTCTAGCTAACATATTCAGCTTCTCTCATATCGTTGAGGGTCTAGCCGTAGTCGTTGAATATTCCATTTCTCATGCAGCTTCTCCAGGGTCGCTCGCAGAGTCTAGTAGCTTCTCTGGAATCGTCCAGGGTCTAGTTGCTTCTCTGTATCTTTGGAGTCTTGCTCGATCATGTAGCTAGCTACTCTGGGACACCTCAGAGTCCAGATTCTTTAAATTTTAAATATCCTATTAGTAAGTTTAATCGTTTTGGTATAGAGTGAGTAGCCCCTGATACGCCAAACTTGTAGCTTGTATGTATTATAACTGTAGTAATAAACAGGTTAAACTGTTCTTGCGTGTTTAGTTGTATATAAATTGACAACATTCTCCAAGTTCAATTTTTTTTTATGAAAATTAAAACTCGTTAATTCACATTATGCAAATGTTATTTACAATGTTACTTAATAGTGATAATGTTACTTATAATGTTATTTTATTTGTATCAAACCAAAGGAAGATTTACTTACAACTGGTAGTCCATACTTTAGTTTCCTTCAAACTACAATTAATTTCATACTTGATCTAGCTTTATGTAAAGTAATCTAGGGTCAGAGAAATCATTCATGGCCCAATTATCGTAATACACAGTTACTACATCATAGTACAAAATTACTACTATGAAAAATGTAATGCTGGTAATCGTTAATTTACAAAAAGTTGTAAGAAATGAAAAAAAAACAAAAAACATTACAGTGAGTGTCAAATAATTATAATAAGTTATATTTTTTCAACAGAAGATATCATTTTAACTCATTCACCCCCGAGATTTCATAATGAACTATTCCAACCTTTGAATTGGAAGAGTTCAAATGAGTCTTCAGGGGTGAATGAGTTAAACACATCACTGTTATCATATTATGGTATATATATATTCATTGACATCAGGTATTAATGCAGGAATATAAAGTGAGTACCTTTTTCAGAAATAGGGGGAAATATGGAGGGGGGCGTGGATAACATCTTTACATTTTGGTTCTCCCTGTTCATTATAGACGCTTCAAATCATATACAGTCAAGTGTACTGTTAACAAGGCCATAAACACTGTCGTAAATTATTGTTAGTGATAACATGGACACAGGGGGGGGGAATGAAATAAATCACTTTGTCCTCCAACTGGCGGAAGAGAAAAAACACAGTAGAATCATGACAGATATTCAAGTGGTAGTGTGTTAGTTAAATGTGGGGGAATTCTTTACCTGAAATAGGGGGAAATGCCAAAATTGTAGACGGAAATTGGCCCATAATTTGCCATAAAAAAGGCCTGTATATATCCATGGGCATGTATAATATTTTAGCCATGATCAACAATTAATTGATTAATTGATTGTTTCTGATTTGTCTGATTTACTTATTATGCTTTCTATTACCAACTGATTCTAGATAATTTATCTAATATATTGATAATCAATAATTTTCTAAAAAAAACTATACATGCACGTAGTAGGGATGAAATATGATGTTTAAAATCAAACTTATCTACATATCTGCTCAAGTACTGGTAGTCAAATTTTTCCAGTGATACAAATTTAAATCTTAGCTGAATTTATCTACGACATTGTTATATACATGTATACATGTACATGTCATGCGGATATATATACAATTGTATATGTATCCAGTATTATCTACATGCATGGCAATACACATCCAGCTAAATCTATATAGACGTGTACGGTTATGATATCTTCATGTCGCTATCTATAGTAAACAACCCTATCGCTATCTACAAAGTAAATGGCTATTTATAATCAGCATTGCTATATATATATATATACATATTTTCACCACTTCTATGGACCAAATCATACCTGTGGTATCTACATATACTGTTAATCTTCTGATGTGGTATAATATCGTGATAGCTATATAGCCACCCAGTGATATTTGAGTATGCAGTTATATTTTCGTGTTTTTGATTTCTACACTGTAACTATACATTATTGGTGATCCATACGTCATAAAGTAACTCCTCTATCACAATATATTACCATTACATATTTTTTTTTTATTAGAAATGCAACATATGTACGGTATAAACATAACGTATAAATGTAAAATTTGGCGTTGTGAATATTTTGGACGTAATCCAGACATGACTTCAAATACACATTAAACACAGTGATGATGAAATTTGATAAAATGTTTGTTGTTCGGGAAAAGTTCAAAGTTAATTAAATTCTCTTCTTGAAATGTCGAATTGTCAATGTGCCAGATGCAATGGATGATGAGCTTGACATTTACAAGTTCTGTACACGCTGCTACGAACAATTAAAGTTACCGTAAATATTCGTAACGAAGTAATACTGTACTCTGGGAAATATTTGCTGCAGTTTTTTCTTTCGTCTTTAATTTTCAACCCTCAACATTTCAATGAGGGCAGACTAATCATGACAGAAAATATTAAAACACAACATTACGTTCATAGTGATTACAGTACACGTGCAGGACAAAAATTAACTGGGTTGAACTCATTCACCCCTGAAATTTCATAATGAACTATTCCAACCTTTGAATTGGAAGAGTTCAAAATCCTCTGGGGTGAATGAGTTAATATGGATTTTACCAGTGAAGGGTGAAAGGTTGACTAGGCAACTGTTTCCTGTTCTACATTGTGATACCTGGCAATATATGCCATGTAAAATATCCTGATGTATTGTGATGTATGTTTTAGTCCTGATACACAACTAGTTCAGCTTTATTATGTCTATCCTACTACATACATCTACACACCTGTTATTCTGCCTTCAGCTAACGCTAGCTGAAGGGCTTATTGTTTTCAAAATATTTCAGCTCTATCCAATTCAGTGTTCTCCCCAGGCTGTTTTTGCAGCATGGCACCATGCTCCTATAAGTTCTTGCCATGCTGCTATCCTAGAACTTCTCTGCTATATATTCATAGTAAATCTAAAGTTACCATGCTGCTTTGATTTTACATAGAGTGCTGCTTTAACAGAAATATTGAAATACCATGCTTCTTACAAAACATTCTGGGGAGAACACTGCAATTATATTTCTAATATTATTTTTATGCTATGTAATTGTTTTGTGGGTTTTTTTTCTATGTCTTGATAAAGGAGCGGTTTGCTCCGAAAATTTGATAACATCATATTGTTTACAATGTAAGAATAAATTCCTTGCCCCATACACACTTGTATTATACCTGTCTATATCTACCCCGCTATATCTACATATATATACCAGCTGTAGGTAGATCAGTGACTACTCCAGGTATATATCTACACACTTGTATTATACCTGTCTATATATAGCCTGACTATATCTACATATATATACCAGCTGTAGGTAGATCAGTGACTACTCCAGGTATATATATA